TCGGTGATCATAGATGAAGAGAGGAGTGGTTGAGGTTGAATATGCTAGTTAGAATTACCGAAAGTCGAAGATTGAACATTGGAGACTGCGGAGTCTGATGTAGCCGTTGAATATTCCAGAGTGGAAAACAGGTAGTATTTTCGCGAACTTGGTGTTGAGTTTTCCAAAGAATTGGAAAAATATAATTTTATTTTGGGTTATTGTGAGTGGGTAAACTATTCTATGTTGAGGATTTATGAGTTGCATATTGAGAAAGTGGTGAAGTTGTATGAGATACTGTCGAATATTGTGTCGGATGGAAGTTTGAGGTTTATTTTGAGTTTTTGGAGGAGCTTATGGGAAGCTCTGGGTACTAATTCAAAGTGGAGTTCAGCTTATCATCCGCAAACTGATGGTTAGTCGGAGAGGACTATCCAATCGTTCGGAGGTTTGTCGAGGGCTTATGTGTTGGATCGAGGTGGATCGTGGGATGGTTAATTACCGCTGATTGAGTCGCCTACGGTATCAGTTACCATTCTGGTATCAGAATGGCGCTGTATGGGGTCTTGTGAGATAGGAAGTGTGAGACTCTCTTGAGTTGGAATGAGTCGAGCGGGAGTGTTATGCTCAGATATGAGAATTATGCATGATACGGCTGAGAGGATCAAGAGGATCCAAGAAAGGATGTGTTTTGAGAATTACGATGGTAACTGGTGTTGGTCGAGCTTCAAAGTCTCGGGAACACACTCGGTGTTTTGTTTATCTGTATCAGAGTGGCGCAACGGAAGCGGGGGGGGGGGGGGGGGGGGGGGGAAGTAGCATGTTAGACTACTTTGCCGCTATCGCTTATGAATGGCATGATATGGTTCACGTGTCTTCATTGAGGGAGTACATTGAATCAGATGGACGATGTGTAAGTGAGAAATAAGTTGATGGTTGAGGCATTGCTAGTTCGGATTGATGAACGAGAAACAACTCCGAGGGAAAGAGATACCTTTGGTGGGAGTGGCTTGGGGAGGTGTTGCAAAAGGCAGTGTGACCTGAGAATTGGAAAGCAGGATGCGAGAAGCGTATCCAGAATGTTCCATCAGGTAATTTTCGAGGACGAAAATAATTAAAGTGGGGGAGAGTTGTAACGCCCATTTTAATTATTTGAGTTTCCAGTGTTATTTCATTTTTCGGCGTGCTTGGTGTGGAATTTATTTGAGGAGCTATGGTCCATAATATTAGAATAATATAATTAATAATAATAATAATAATATGATAATTAGTAGTATTGTTGCTATTATTATTATTATTGTTATTATTATTATATTTAAAAATATTATTGGAATTATTAATTTTTGAATAAAAGAAATGAGGATTTAATATTAATTTGGAATTATTTGGAATTAAAAAGGGGTTTTGAGGTATTGAGGGCATAAGTGGAAAATTGGAAATAGAGAAAAGAAGAACACGAACCCGATGGAGAAAGGAAGCACGGTGAAAGAAGCTAGCAAGAGTAAGAGCACAGTCAAGCAAGAGCAAGCAAGAGGAAGCTAGGATGTGGATTCTCGAGGTTCCTTCATCGGAGCTGCATTTGAGGTAGGGGGAATAATCGGTTAAATTTCGGTATTGCATGAATATTTGGTAGAAGCAGATTTCCCTAACCCCATTAATGAATGATGAACTAAATAATATGTTGTGTTGTGATTCTGAATGTTGCTAGCATGAATTAATTGTTGCATGTGTTGTTCGGGTGAATTTGGGGTTTTCGGTAGTTTTCCGTTCTAAGCCGAAAGTTGATTAATTGAGTAGAGCTGAGGTTTTACCAGATGGAATTGAGAATAGATTTTGGAGTTAAGCCTTAGAATGTTGGTTAGTCGTGTTAGAAGCTGATTTTTGGTAACATCGGGCGAGTTCGGAGAGAATGGCTGATTCTGATAAGTGAGACTTTTTTGAAATCGTAGGCATTCACTGGGCGAATGAGGGGGCGAGCTTTCGCCAGGCGAACTGGGCAGCGAATGCTGCCAGTAGCCTCTGTTTGGATTCGCCGGGCGAATAGTCAGCGAGTGTTCGCTGCGGGGTTTCGCTAGGCGAATGTGCCAGCGAGCCCGACAGCAGTTTGTGTTTTGCTGCTGTTCTGTGTTGATTTCTTTGTGGTTTTGGACCCTTGTTGGTCATGTTTGGTGATGAGCTTATTAGTGAGATGTGGTGAGTGTATGTATGGTGTTGGAATATGATTCTGTGATATCCGTGTGATTATGATATTTGCATTGGTGTATGTTATGACGTATGACTGTGATGATGGGTGAGATATATTTGATATATGATAAACTGTGATCAGTAGGATCGTGTGCACCTTGTGTGCTTAGGTTTGTGTGTTGTTGTGATGAATTGGATCAGTGTGCTTGGTGTGTATGCATTATATGATGCGATGGATCAGTAGGATCGTGTGCACCGTGAGTGCTGTGTTGTTGTGCATGGTGTCTGCATAGCATGTGGACGTGGTGAATCATTGCTCAGTGGAGTGTATGTGATTCACTCACGTGCTCTAAGTGGGGAGCATGGACGTGGTGAATCATTGCTCGGTGGAGTGTATGTGATTCACTCACGTGCTCCAAGTGGGGAGCGTGGACGTGGTGAATCATTTCTCGGTGGAGTGTATGTGATTCACTCACGTGCTCCAATTGGAGAGCATGGACGGGAGTTGAATCGTTGCTCGTATGGAGTGTACGCGATTCACCCGTGTTCCAAGTGGGGAACGTTGGTAGGGATAGATCGTTGCTCAGATGGAGTGTATGCGATCTATCATGAGATTTGATTATATGGGCTCAGGAGGAGCGTGGTAGGGATAGATCGTTGCTCGGATGGAGTGTATGTGATCTATCCTGAGTTGAGTCGGTACCGCATATTGTTGAGTCATGTTGCATGTGCTGCATGTGTTGCATGTGTTATATGTGTGTTGTGATTGATGATGGGACAGTAGGTCCGAATATGATGTATATGAAATGATGTGTATATGTTTCTGCCTTTTATTTCATGTACATTTATACCGTTAATAATTTGATCGTGATTTCTCACCCCTCTGTTGTTGTTGTGGTCTGTGCTTCTTCGGAAGTACAGACAATCCAGGTGTTTAGCTAGCTTGGGTTGTGGCGATGTCGTAGGGATTGCTCTGATACGTAACACCGGGGTTTTTGGGAGTATTATGTTTGTTGATGATTTCGGGTGCCACTGTGGCGTATCATATTCGTTGGATTGATGATTGATTTGCATATTTTGGGCAGATGGCCGAGTTGTTGTACATATGATGATATGGATGGTGTGTGTGTGTGTGTGTGTGTGTGTATATATATATATATATATATATATATATATATATATATATATATATATATATATATATATATATATATATATATATATTATGTGTTTATGACAGATTCGTTTTCCGCTGCAATTTTTGTTGAAAATCATTTTTAAAGAAATTGCGGAATTTTGTTGAAAGAAGTGACATCCCGTTTTTTAGGGAATACTCTGATAATTGCTGATTTATTTGTATTTATTTTATTTTGGGGAACGGGGTGTTACACTTGTCCACTAAGGTGACGAGCATGTGAAGATATGGCATGCATGTAGGTGTTCGTCCATTGGGTTGGCGAGCACGTGCATTTTTTATTGTTTTTTTTACATTTTTATATTGTATAATTAATTATAATAATAATTTTAATTAGTAAAATCATATTTTATGAATTAAATAATATTTTAAAAAATAATTTTTTTAATAGTTTTTTAAAAATGATTGATGCTCACCCAATGAGTTGCTGAGTATTTAAAGATTCTCGTCCAATGAATGAACAAGTTCAAACGTAATATTTTTTTATAAATAGATTGATCCGCATCAACACAAATCATTCGAGTTCGGTGTTTGCATTTTAAAAAATGTCTGTTCGAACTCTTGTTTTTTATGGACAAGAAAAAAATCAATGTTTACCTAGATCCTCAGTGGAATTTCAAAACCGTGGTTGCAACAATTAACACGGGTTTTCGACAGTTGGGTCGCCGTCGCATGAAGGTGAGAAAAATAGAGTATTGTTGTCCGTATATAACACTGACTGATGCAAGTCTGGAGGGTACGTACATGTATTACTTGGATTGTATAGAAAATGATGAAGATGTCCAATGTATGTTTTCAGCATATAGTGGCGAAGCTAACAGAGGAGTCGAAGATCCACTTGTGTTGGTTGTTGTTGTTAATTAGCTTGTATGTTAGCTTCTTGAGTTTTAATTTTATTTAGTAAACATAAATTACATGATGATGCTCGACCATCCATTGGATGAGCAGTGAAATATTTAATTATTTTTATATTTTCTATAAATAGCTTTATGTGCAACCTTGGAATCTCAGATCTAGTACATGAATTCTTCATTTTTAGTCTGAAATATAGATCCGACCATGGAGTATCTTACCAATCCAAACACTCCTTTTACCAAAAGAGATGATCTACTGGTTTTCTCACCAATAAAACCCCTGTTAAAGGTCCGACTATGGAACACAATCACGTTCGAGCATTTTCAGATCTGGTGAGGTGGTTAGAAAGTGAAATAGCTGAAGGTGAAAATATTAGAAGAATCGAAAGGTTGTTAAAGAGAGAGATGACATGGTTTGGAAAGCTGTAAAAAATGATTATGATTGTGTCATGATGATGTATGGACAAGTTGATATTAAGTTGATAGTTGTAATCTCCTAGTATTGCTGATTTATTGAATCATTTAAATGTTCATTGTCTTGTTGTTTTATGAGCATATTCTTTGTTTCATAGTTGTTAGTAAAAGTTGTCTTGAATTATAAATTAATGTTGGATCACAGAGAAATCAAGTGCAAGATAAAAACTTTACTAACCGATTAACTTGAAAAACAAATAAAATTATCTAGACGGTCGATTTGACGGGCCGACAATATTTGGACATTTTCTACGCATATGGCCTATTTCGCTGCAAATCCCACACCTTCTCATTTCCTTTTCAACTTCGTCCATTTAGGTTCTAATCCTACCACTGGTTGTATGTCCCTTCTTATTTCTTTTCATGGAATCGTCGTGGCAAAGAGTAAATCCTTCGTATTTTGGCCAGTTCTCCTCGTGGGGTAGTCCCAGGAAGCTTTTGTTGTAGACCTTGAATACGTTAAGAACTGTGAATACTTCTGGAATTTGAATGAAGTAGTCTTGACCTATACTAGAACATGTTGTGATAAGGTGGGAGTAAGGTAAGTGAAATGCCTGAAATTTCCCACAGTCACACCAACGATTCTTCAGGTCAACACTGAAAGCACCCGTCGAACAACCATAATTCTGATTAATTTTATCCTGAACCATCAAACAGAGTCTTTCGGGATCAAATTGTATGACATTATGTTTGTTAGCCTTGGTTACATTATCATCCATTCCCTTGCTGCAACCATTCGTGAAAACTTTGCCAGTAGCTAGCATTTTAGTCCATTTGTATCCTCTTTTACCAAAGAGGGAACCCATGAGATAGTATGTACACTAGACCAATGCAGTGATTGGAAGGTTTTGAGTTGCCTTTAGTAAAGAGTTCATTGCTTTTGCCAAGATAGATGTCATATGTCCCCAATGTTGCCCTCCGTCATATGCTCTAGCCCACTTCTCCCTGGGTATGTCGTCTACCCAACGTGAGGCCTCAATGTCTGTTCTTCAGATTTCCCTGCGATAGTAGTTAAATATAGCCTCTGTCAATGTGTAACCTGTAAAAGAAATAGTATGAAAAATATAGTAAAAGAATGAAAAAATAGTTCAGGTAACTGAAATGTATTTTGTTACCCATGTTAATAAGTTTTTTGCATAGTTCCTTGTCCTTAATCTTGTGCATGAAGTTTTGCGTAATGAGTCTAATGCAGTAGACATGTGAAGATGGTGGATGTTGCCATCCGTTTTTGGGATTGTTATATGAGCTCTTTATCGATTCATGTCTATCTAAGATTAGGCACAAATCAGGCTGTGGTGTCACGTGTAACCTCAGGTTCCATAGGAAAAAGCTCCAGGCTTCCTTTGTTTCACCTTCGACCAATGCGAAAGCTATCAGAAAAATGTCTGCGTTGCCATCCTGTGCCACCTCCATCAACAGAGTTCATATGTACTTTCCAAACAACCATGTTCCACCAACTTGCACAATGTGCTTATAGTAGGCGAAGCCACGTATACACGGTCGAAATGCCCAAAACAGAAGATGGAAGATTCATTTGCCAGAGATTTGGGAACCATCATTTGAAATTGCAGGTAGGGTCTGCAAATCAATAATGGTTCCAGGAAGATAGGTTTTCATTACCAATATCCACTATGGCAGATCATTGTAAGATGTTTCCCAATTTCCGTAGAGAGATTCTATGGCCTTACACCTTTCAATCCATGCTTTCCTGTAAGATATTATGTACCTGTATTTTTCAAGAATATGGGAAATGATCACCTTCACCTTAAGTGAAGCGTCACGATTGACAAGCTCTCTAATGTTGTGGCTAATAATTTCTGAACTGAGCTTCCTATGATCTTGTGCCATAGACGTGGTAGTGTATGTGTGAGGCCTGGACAACTTACCAATCTTCCATTTTGAATTCTTTTTCCTCAAGGAAGCTCTGCATTTGAAATTGCAGTCTTGTTTCTTACATTTAATTATGTATCATTCATTGTCATATTGGTAACCCAATAGTCAACACTGTGTGTTGTATGGAAATTATACAGAGCGAGAATGAAAGCTTCCTTGTTTTCAAACTCCACCCCAATCTCTATTTCTTCACCTATATGGTTTGGTATGATACTTCCAAACACAGAGATTGGTTCAGCATCTTCCATACATATATTCTGCATATGTGCAGGTGGGTTGTACAAGCTTATTGGTTCGACTAGAATTTCCCGCGTAGGCGCAACTATCATATCTCTATCATCCTCGTCATTGCTGTTACCAAAAAGATCTTGCATCCTAACCTCTTGAAGATCATCGTCGCTTTCTTCCCCAATCTCTTCATTTGGTATGAAAGGTTCGTTGTTTTATGTTGGTTCGTCGTCAGATGTTTGGCTCATTCCATATTGGTGTGATTATGTCTCTTGCGCCAAAAATGTTTCGACATTGTCAAGTAGACGAACATACAACTCAATTGTGGGTAATTGACCAAACATCATGTGGCATTGAAACATTGCTTCCATGTCCTCATCGTTCTTGATCAATGCCATTACGTAAAAATCTTTACCATTCTCTCCATTAATTAATGGATGACGATAAATAATCTCCACAACAAATCGTTCTAATTTTTTTCCATCCTATCTTTGAAATGAAGAAAATTAGAATTCACATGAATTCTGAATGTGTAAGTATATGTGTTGCCAAATGAGAATCCAGAAGTATTGTCTGTCGAAACAGTATCATTAAAGTGACATGTAACTATTATATTTCTCTTAGCCATATTTGATGTGGTAATTCTACAATTTTGTTACTGGAATATGGAATGATGATACAAATGTGAGAAACTAACATTATATAACACACATATATAATATTCAAATGCTGCAAAGAAATAACCCACGCGTGTGCTCGTCCACTCAAATGACGAACATGTTCTAACATAGTATCTGCCCGTCCACTCAGTTGGCGAGCATAGTCGTGTCATGCATCATCTCATTTTCTCAAGTCGCGAGCACATGAGGTCTAAAAAATTGTTCTCCATGCAAGGCACAACGTACCATCCCTAAGGAGTAGGCTTGCATGCATTTCATGAAATTAAAACAAGTTCCAAGGCCATGCAGTGTAATGTCACTTCTACTAGTGTATGATCTTGTCACATTTATTTACTACTCTATAACTATCCTTCTATAAATTCATGTTAGTTAAAATATTTCTTCAAACGTTTTTACACCTCTCACAAAACACTCTTGCAACAAAAGCAAACATTTCTTCACCTCTCACAAAATTTCTTCAAACATGTCTTTATTGTGGATGGGCGATGAACACCGTGGAACACAAGCAAACATTCAAGCTAGTGTAAGGTTTCCTATACTATTCTACATAATAATTTTTATAATTTTTGAGATCACTGTTATTTCCTTTTTTTTCCAGGCTAATGCAAGGTTTTGAGTGCATTCTCATACTCACATTCAAGTAAATGCGGGAATAATCATGTATTTAGAATTAGTAGGTTTTGCTAATTTCACAAAAATAAATAGTCTCAAAATTGACTCTAGCCTCTAGTTGTTGCTCTGTTAGAGAAACGGAGACCAGAAACACACACTTCCCAACCGGTTAATGCACGATAACATTAGAAAATGTTAATATGTTATTTGGTATCCGAGTTGATGGAAAAGCTATTAACGGTCCTACTGAAGTAACAAATGATGTTTACATGAAGAACTTAGGGGTAGAACCTACAGCAGCTGATAAAAACAGGGGGTCCGTTAAGATTGCTTGGTTAGAGAATTTATATGAAGTTTTAAAAAATAACTCTTCCCCAACCCGAGAACATATTATTTTACAAGCTAAAGTTTGTATTTTACTTGTAATTGCTACTATTTTGTTTCCTGTCAAGAGTCAAAATATGTTGCATTCTTCTATGATTCCTTTCGTAGGGGATCTAGAAAAATGCAAAACCTTTAGTTGAGATTCTGCTTGTCTTGCAAAACTGTACAGAGAAATGTGCAAGGTCGTGGTCAAAGATGTCAGGAGCATGAGTGGTTGTGTTGTACTACTCACTACTTGGGCATTCATACGTATACCCTTGGTTGCTCCTGTTAGTATATTGCATTCATCATTTCCATACGCTCAAAGGTATTAGTAAAATTAAAATTCACTTTATAATCTTCTTAATCAACTATATCTAACATATATATATTTTTTTTGTTTTTGCAAGATGGACCCAAAGACGCATGAATTACGATGCTAATCCTCGTTTCCATCTACAAGGGTATCGAAACGCACTAGACCTCATGCAAGAAAAAGACGTGAGTTTGAAACCATAGAACCTACTTGTTGCATATACTTCTTAATTGTATTCTATTTTTTTTTATATGTGGCAGTTTATATGGAGGTCGTACATTCAATTCCCGGTGCCCAATGTTAGAAATAGCTAGATCTGGAGTGCTACGACTTCTGTTATATCTTTCTATACTGTTGAAATGCATCAAACAAATAGGGTCAAACTCCAGTTCAAGTTTGAACAACAAATCCCTTCCCCGCCAAGGTGTCTAAGGGAACACAACACAATGACGATGAAAAAAACCTAAAAAGTTCATTGACGAGAACTAAACAAAGAGGATGTGAAAGAATGGAAACATAGAAGATATTTGATTTTGCAGGGGGACGCGGTAGTTGGTGAACACGAGCCAAGCCAAAAGTATTTAAATTGGTTTCGTGCAATTCCGTATGTGCATATTACTCCTGACCAATTTTCGATCGACCCTCGTGTATAAGGTTCATCTTCAACACAACCAACTGCCGCACTAATGCATCAGGATGTGCCACCAATGTACACATCCCAATTTCAGGGACACACATCTTCATCCGCTCAGCATACATACCAACGCACACAAACCATCGAACAACACATATTTTATGCACCTCATCCCAACACCAAACTCCCTACACTCCACTCCCTCAACAAAACTACCACTACAACTATAACCAACAATATCAACACCAATCCACCCTTTGGCCACCCTTACAGTTCACTCCAGTTTCTCCACCAAACTTTTATCAATCAAACCCCTAATCCCAACATCAAACCTTCAACACTTCATTCTCTCAACCCACTTCCACCTTCACGCCTGATGATGTCTACTACCTAACCCTCCAATAAACCCAACCTGAAACCTACACCCGATCACCACAACCATCGCATTCATTCCAACATTTTTTTGCTGATGGAGGATCAACTGATGCAAATGCCATATTTTAACATTGATGACCTTCTTGCGGAGCAACCTACGACATAAATAGGCCCATATTCAAGGCATGTGAACCCCATACGAAACATCACGATTAAGATATGTCTTCCGATTCATCTCCATCACCTACAAGAAATGCAAATGAACGTATGGGCATGGGATATCGACAAAAAAGGCATTAGGTGTGGAACTGGCGGCCATTTTTTATGAAATGTATTTTATTTGTCAATAATCAATACAAAAATATTTATTGCATTTAATTTTGTTTGAATAAATTCCTTCATATATTTTTTTTATTACATTTAATTAATATAATATGTTTTTAATTGGTTGACCTATTCATGGATACTTTGCAAGGTCCATACTTGGACAAGATGATTGGCAACGAGGCCTTAAACTTTTCTGACTTGATAGTAGTTGGGGAACGTATCGAGAGCGCACTCAAGAATGGAAAGATTCAAGACATCCCAGACATCTCAGTTCGTGAAAGTGAATCAATTGTCAGTACTCAGGAAGAATGAGAGAAGCCTCAGTACTTAGATATTTCAAGTATTCGAAGTCACTATGCCAAAAAAGACCTTTAGCAG